ACCTAGTTTTTTATCGGTGTCCTCTCAGTTCGTCCCAAATTGGCTTTGTAAGATGAAACAACATCAAAGGGGCGAGCAGGTGTGAGAGTGAGCAATTTGGGACGAACTGAGAGTAAACCGTTTTTATCGTACTTATTTTCGAAGCAGATGACATTCTGTGCTAAATATATATTTTTTTGTGAATTATTCTCTTCCTTCAGTGGTGTTCTGTTATCGTAGAAAGTAAAAGTGTATTAGATGAATTATATTTTCATTTTATCTCTCTTAAATTAAAAAGAAATAGAGAGAAGGAGAAAAATAATTCTAAATAGTCTAAGGTAACATGGTAGATACGACAACAACATCTAATTTTATCCTAAAAAACACTTTAACCTCACTTTTTACTGATAAAATAACTTTTTTTTCATCTGCTGGCATGTTTGCTCTCAACAAACAGATCAAAGATCATGTTTTTTTGTGTACATAAATGATATGGTCGTCATAGAGAGACAGAGAGAGAGATTAAAAGAGACAACAATTTCTATATAAAGAGGATAGAATATGTTATTTAGTTGCCTCCACTCTTCGAACAGCAGCGCACTTTTCACACGCACATATAGTCAAGTTTAGCTCTAAAACCAGAAAAGGTAAACTTATAATACTCTGTTACTTATTAATAGGATACTTTAAGTAGTTCAAAACTGGACTCTCAGAACTCCGTTTGATCTCTTCGCAAACCTTTTATGGTCCTTCATTTAGATGGCACAAGCAAAAATTGAAGGATTACTCACACAATGGAAAGAAAAATCTGGCAAATTGGAGTTGACATCCGATCAAGAAACAAAAGTATGTATTAGACACTAGTATGTTGAAGAAAGATATTTGGTAGATTGATTTATTTGTGTCTAGATCAAACAATGGTTTGCTGATTGTGTTGAAAAATTAAAACAACGTAAAGAGGGTGCTAGAAAAGTAATAGGTGACTTGAAAACAGCTGTCGACGGTGGAGACGATAAAGCGGCTGAAGAAAATTTACAAAAATTACGTGAAGGTTTGAGACAACATGATCAAGGAAGAGAAAAGGCATTAGATGAATTTGATCAAATTCTTAAACCAAACCAACGTGCACGTATAGTACTCTTTGCAGTTTCAGAAGCAAAAGCAAAAGGTCAATCAGTTGAACATCTGTTAGATTCAATTTTATCAGGTGTAGCCGAATAAATCACAACAATAGTCAGAATAGACCAAAATATTTTAGTTATTATAACTATTTTTTTTAACAATTGTAAGGTTTCAAGACTAAAATAAATAAATATGATCGAATTTTGAAGTATTCCATATTTTTTACATTATACTAGGGATCGGAAAGTTTCATTTCCGTTCTTTTGAACGGTAGCTGGATAGCCGTTCTCGTTCTAAGAACGGGAACTGCCGAACGTTCTCCTTAGGAGAACGCGAACTAACTACCAGTTCTTTTCAAGAATTCAATGTAAAATAAAACCGGTCTACGAAATTTTTATGCTCCATACTAGACTATTTTAAAAAAAACCTGGTCCCGGTCGCATTAAAAGTTCTGCGGGATCGAAACCATCCCGCAGACCTCTAGGGCCCGATCCCGTAAAAAGCCCTGCGGGACCGGGACAGTTCTGCAGACCTCTAGACGGAAATCTATCATGTAGACTGTTATTTCTTTTTTTGTCAACATAGACCAATTTTATGTGCAAAATCAGAACATATATTTATAAATGTACTATAGTCTCTGAAATGAGAACAACGTATTTTAATCCGTCGACAGAATTGGATGATAAAAAAATCAATCACGAACACTCAAAATAAGTGTCATTTATATGAAATAAAATCACCCACACAAATATCGCACAACTGTACTTTAATCAATTGACAGAACAGTAAAAGAAAATAATTTATAGATACGTAGTTAATCAATAAACAAATTGACTGAATAAATTATAAGAATTAATTTTTCACAAATGCTGCTAAATACATAGTAAAACAAAAAGTTATCCTAGACAATCATTCGTCATTGAAGAAAGTTAATGTTCAATTTTTCTGTAAAACATACAAATCTCTTATAGTAGTATTGGGTAGGATTTGTTGTAATTCATTTTGTTTTAAAAGTTGAATATTATTAAATCCAACTTGTTTACAACAATTAATAATTGTCTCAGATGAAAACATCAGCATATCGTGTTTTTCTTCCCATTGTTGAAATAATGGCTCGACATTATCTTCAACAAATAATTCTTGACCAAAATCCATTTTGCCAATTGAATAGTTAACTGTTAACTGTACTCTATTTTTCTCATCTTCAGTTGTAGGATTTTTATACATGCGTCTAACTTTTCCTAATCGAGCTATTTTATAATTAGAATCTTCATACGTTGTTAAATCACACGTGCCATATTTGAATAATTCAGGCTGTATAAATGGTTCAATAATAACTAGACCTCGCGGTCTAACTAAAACAAACATGTTCGTAAGTGTTTGTATTAATTCTTGTGTACTTTTCAAATAACCCAAACATCCAAATAATGATAGAACAATATCAAATTGCTGCTGAACATCATTTGTTATAAAATTAGCCATATCATCTTGTTTTGTTATAAACACTGTTTTCATAGTTGATTCATTGATTTTTTCAGCTATTTTTTTCTCAGCAATTTCTAGCATATGACTACTTTTATCCAAGCCAATCAAGTTTAACCGATCATATTCTTTCGATTTTTCAAATAATTCAAATAAATGACACATATGATTACCAGTACCAATGCCTAACTCAATTACTGATAATTCACGATCAATATCATTATTTCTATCAAGATTTTTCCTAATTATATCATAAATTAATTCAGATTCTCCTCGATAGTTTTTAAATGAATAAATTAAGTCGTAAATATCGGCGTGATTAGTATACATGGGGAGAATAAATACAAATATATTGATTGCCTATTTTTTCTGAAAAAGTTAGACGCAATTCATGGTATTAAATTGAACAAAATACTATACTCTTATAGCCTAGCTAAAAATGTCGAAAAGCTGCCATTTAAGAAAAGTGAACTGCGTTTTAACGAACTCAATTCACATTTGATTAAGCTTAACATCAACTCACGATCATATGGCTTCATTAGAAACAAAACGGTCAACTTACCCAGGAGATAAATCTTTAAAGATTTCTCAGGTTTCGCCCCAGATCTTTCAAGAACTTGTGTAGTTTATCAAAATCTGTCAAGATTCTGAATGGAAAGCAATGCTACAGATTTTCCACAAGTTTTGTATCGGAATCTGTCGTGATAAATCTTGAGCAGATCTTGTCAAGATATTTCAAGAATTCTGAAATGATTAATTTGATACACAATAATCAGAATCTTCATTAACAGATTTGGGAATTTGAAAGAAAATCTTAAACTTTAGTTTTCTACTTTATATTTTCATTTTTTTCTACTGTATCACTACAGTGCATGCTCTACGGTACTATGCACACAGTATCAGAGCTGTTGAAAGTGCATGAGCAACCGTACATTCAAACACAGTACTTGAATTTCAGTGTCAAAATTTTCAATGTTCTGTAGTGCAAGTATTTTTTATTCTCAAATATGCAAGAACAATGTCAAACAAAATGGTGACTGAAAGAATAACAAATTTATTTGTCTACCCTATCGAGATGCTGGCCAAGTTTCTACGATCTTGTGTCGAAAAGTGCCATAGAAAATACGAAGCAGCTCGAAAACGCCATTAAGGCGAATTAATTTACATTTGTAATGTTAAAAAGCCTGTAACTGGGTAGCCCGAGATTGTACAAACTTGGCCAGCATCTCATTTTGTGAAGAACTGAAGGGGCTATTCAATGATAATGGTTTAAAAGCTTCTGAAAGTATTTTGAGATTACTAGGTTTTCTAGAAAACCGAATTTTTCAGAAATCTGCCTCCAGACTCCGAGGCCTAGCATAACGTTTCTTCATCGAAATATATAGAACTCGGCGCGCCCTTTCATTTGATACCAAATTCAAGGTAATGTGCTCCGCAGACGTTCTACAAGTTCGGCCAAAGCCCCCGGAAAATGATGGAGATGCATTTTTCCGCTGCGAGGTAAAATGGCTATAACTTTTTCTAACAAAGCTAGAGACTTACGCTTTGCACCATTCGGTTCAGCTTGCTGAGCTCTATAATATGAAATAGTTCTCGTCACGGACATCAAAGGTCGATGCAAATGGTGATAGGTTTTATATGGGTTGAGTCTATCCGTTGATGCCGAAATTTTACTAAAAATTCAATATCTCGCGTTCCTCTCGCAAGTCCAACGTTTTTCTTTTGCCGTTTTATTACTCCGCTCGTCTAGTATCTACTCTAAAAGGCTGAGCTTTATTGAGCTGGTTACGCACGAGATAATGAGTGGTGAAGTAGTAGCGGTATCGCCATCTATAACTAAATAATAAAACGATCTCTAGAGTTCGAACTTGCACTGTTTCCTAGCCTAATCCAAGTTGTATTTGTGCTGAAACATTCGTGTCTCTAAGTCAAGCCGTTAGAAAATAATGCACTAAAATTAAGATTAAAATGATTCTCAGTGACTAAGTGAGCCTAATTCACCACCAAAAAAATGGGAACTTTTCTTAAAACTTGAATATTTTAATAACTGCTCGGGTGGTAGAGTTGCGATCTGCGGCAAAAAACTTACTATTGATTGTACTTTTGACCTATGCAATTGAAATCAAATTTGGAAAAAGTCGATTCTCGTATCTATAGAACGAAAAGATCAAGAAAGCTAAAAACTTGAATTTATAGGTTTTCGAATATGCTCTACAAGATGAGACTAGTCACAGTCAAATCTGAAAAATTCAGTGAGCATGCTTCTGTGGCAAACAGGCGTCCTACTCATGCAATGACTCCTAAGGAACTTTTTATCGAAAAAACTTTTTATGTTTAATTCGAGTTTTTTTACTTTTATTAAAGTCTGACGCATAATAACACCATATTATGTGAAGATAATAGTTTTTAACTCAAAAAAACGAGATGTCCGCCTGCTCTATGAAAAAATGCCCACTGTGCGCCTCCTACTAATGTAAGGTATCATATGCGTTTGTGAATGATTGACGTCCAGAAATCTAACACTCACTATTCTCTCAACGTAGAAATCTTTAGTCTTTTACTAACGAAGCGTCAACTCTACACCTTCTCAATAGTCATACGCAAACAGGAGTCCAGAAAATTCTCCAACGTACAGCGTATGGATAGTCGGTGACGTCAAAGATTCATGTTTACTGAAGAACTTGTGTGAAAAAGGACAGACTCACGGTAAAATGAAAGAAAGCATCAGGTGTGAAACAAAAGTTTTTTATCATAATCTGTTGAATGGGGGAGTATTATTTAGTCCTTTCTGTCGTTTAGTAGCAATTTCACGTGTAAATATAAAACATCATACAATCGTTAGTGAGAGAAACGTGTCCATGAACGATGCTATCGATTTTCATGAGCTGAGTTGGACATAATCATGGGCAAATACGGACAAAAAACATATCTGTGCAGAATTCAAGAGTTCAAGCTTCATGTAATATAAAATTAAAGCCAAAGTTTATTTATTAGTTGTCATTGCACGCAATAACTGATGAAAATAATCAATAAATCGAAAAAAATCTGATTGATCAGTACACAATCCACTTTCGATTCAGGAAGCGTCTACTTTAAGGATGTAATATACTGAAGTGAATGACTGCTAAAAAACTACTTTTATACTTTGGTCTATTTGAGAAAGTGGATACGCACTTTAACGGAGTATTTAGCTATTTCCATTTTGTCCACTCCTTGTTTCATAACCATTTTAGTTAGAGCTGTGGCAAACCAAAATTTTAAAAGATGTCCTTTGACTATTTCTATAGATTTTTGTTCAAACATGAATCTCAGTAGTAGAGAACTAAAACGGTTTCTCTTTTGAACAAAATAAACATCTGTTTGGAATATCTTGATTTACTTTACTGATATTCGATTCAGAATCAAATTTTGACGTTCGGACTGAAAGAATGGTAGTAAACAGTGCTCTAGTGAATATACTGAATCAAAATTAAACAAATCCTGAATAAGCCAGGTCACTCCAGAGTAACACCCATTTATTAGTCCATCCAAGTTCTCTTTTATCAAATTTGTTGTATTTGGCTGTTCAAATTGGCAATTCAAAATGTCTTTAATTATACGTTTGACCTATGTGTTTACAACGGTGTCACGTACTTATATTGAACAAACTAATATAGATAGATATAAATAAATAGTTCATCTCTTGTTTGTTATTTTGTAAATAACAAACAATCAGATAAAAATTACAATAAAAAAGTGAGTAAACTTTTGGACTTTCTGAAATAAATAAAACTAATATACTGGAATGTATGTGAGTTAATCAAACACCAACGTGTTCCATTAGAAATTTTCGAATATTTTCTTCTTCACGTTTTAATACATCCGCTCGCGTTTGAATTTGTTCTAGAGCTTTCTTAATTGTACGATCCAATAATGGAGTTTCATGTTCAGAAAAAAATGCCTAAAATTAAAAATAATATTGAAATAAAGGAAAAGTGTCTTTTTTTTTCATTGATGATTAACGAGAGAATGGATCTCAAGTTGTAAAGGACAGTAAAACGCTGTCTGCTTGATGAATATACTTTTAAGGTCGTCTCTTTCAAAAATCTATTTTAGACCCAAAATACAGAATGCTAATCAAATTTTCATAGAATGTTAGTTTTACTTATATTAGATTAGGAAAAGCATTTAAACTTGAAAACATGAGCTTTCAAAGTTTTGTTTCACTCGGGCTGATTTTAAATTAAGAAGATAACCTGTGGCTTTGATTTAACAGAACCAAATTCTCGAAATTATGTTTTAGTTATTCTTCCCAGAGATTTTTCGCTCAAGTTCGAAGAAAACATGCTTTTTTTCATTTTGTTTTTCAACTTTGCTTTTCTCTAAAATAAAGATAAAATCAAAAGTCTCGCTTCTGCCATTAGTCATAAGTTATTCTCTCATTTTAAGCTCAACCGGATCTTTGTAACATTTGAAATAAAGGAGAAATCTGGGAAATAGCAATATTTACTTTTCAAAAAAGCGATTTTGGAAAAAACGTAAAATCCGATGATGAGATGATTTTTAAAAAATCATCGTAAAAGATGATTTTTGTGGCAAAAAAGTGATGTAGGAGAAAACTGAGAGTAGTTCGTCAAAGATTATCGACTATGATTCATCGAATAGATATATGCAGAGGGAAATGCGTCATATCCTTCCATCGATAAACTGAATAATGAAAAAGTGTTTTTTTCGCTGTGAAAGAACCTTTTAAAATCCATCAGACAACATCATCCAAGTAAAAAGCTTTAACTCTTCTGAACATACACACTTTGGGCTATCCCACCATGTATAAATCTTAAAAATGAGTTTTTTTAATAAGAGAGAAGCCTAAACTACAAAAAAACTTGACAAGTATGTTAAGTCACAACGTACATACTATCATATCATTTCAGCTTCCCGAAAGACCATTTTTCACACTTACTTCAATTTCATTTGCTTTCTCCTCAGTGACAAAATCTGGTAATAGATGCTGAAAATAGAACAATATCATATTTTACCTTATATTAAGTTAAAACTAGATAATACATACGTCAACAAAATCAATTAAATGAGGATCCCTTTCACCAAATCGATCGACAATTGTTTGCCAATTTTTTTGTAAATAAGACCAACATAATTCTCTGCCTACAACATTATGTGAACAAGCACTGAAACCAATTGTTTGATCTTGTGCACGTACATCTTTCTATAAAAAGAAAACGAAAATACTGAGAGAAAGAATAGATGTGAAATATAGTAAATACGTACAGTATCAAATACAAAGTCTAATGCTTGACGTATTATATTTGGATCATCAAAATAGCATAATGCAACCAATAGACGAACTTTTTCCTCTTGTGAATCTGCTTTTAAGTATAACTAAAAAACAAGAATGAAAGAAAATATAGCAGGAATCTGCTTTGCAGAAAAAAAGCACAAAACATGTTTGTAAAAACTTGAAATTATATCGACAATTTTTGAGGGTAAGATATTTCATCCAGATCAAAAGAATAGCACTTTATATGACATGAATGAGTATTACAAGTACAAAGTCAAGATATCGGAAAGATAAAAGTATTCTAATTTTCTAGAAATTACCATTAAATTCATAAGGAACATCTTACTGTTAATGCTTGATTTGTGATCGACTTAAAAACATTTGAACAAATACTTAGTTGAACCAAAAAGAATCGTACATCTAAATCTGATGTTGTACATTCAAAATTATTTTCTAATTCCAAAAAAGTAACAATAATTGAGTAGAAAAACTGCTGTTTCTCGAAAATTGTCTATCTATCATATATATATCTGTATTTGATCAGTCTTTCAACAATGCGAGTTGTGAACTGCGAACTTATTGATCTACTTTGACCATTCCCGTTTTCCAACTACAGTTGATACGAGAATCTCATACTGAACATCGCTATTAATCCAATTGCATGGATACATCCGTTTTGTAACATATGTATATAACACATGAAATATCAGATATCAATATGTGCTTCTCTACCTCTAAACACGATCTTTATAGTATCTTATTACATGTCTGTACTTTTTCGGATTCTGTTTTGCAAAAAAAACATAAAAATAATTTATGCACAATAAATATCTTCAGGGATCAGGGATCTTGCTCGGTTTTTATTCATCATACATAATTATTTTGGTTAGCCTCTGGTAAGGAAAGGATAGACTGTGTCTTGCACTCTTTATAGGCTCTAATGGGTACCCCATCCAGAGTTCTTTATCGATTTCATCTGACACAATAGTATCGAAAATATATTTTTTTAAAAATTGGAATCTTTTGTGAGATTTTTCTGGGATCAACAATGTTATTGTCCTTTAAAATCAGTCTGAATTATAGTTATCTTCAGCATGGCTATTTGATGCTTGTCCTTTGGACATTTAAAATGAAACAGAATCGAATTTTTTGTTCCATTTCTTTTTTTGAGTAAAACTTAAAATTATAGATCGGAGACTAGTAATTTGTTTAACTAAAATGATGTTTTGGATGGAAGAACGATTACATAACGTTTTCGTATTGTTTGCAAAACAGAATATCAAACAGAACAAACCGAACTGTTCTTTAGCTTCTTTGTTTGATGATACATACCGTTTTTAATTGTTCATATGTTTGTTGATTTCCATCTTTAGCCATAACTAAATAGATAACACCTCTAATATTTGGATTTATTGGATTAATTGCATTGTTATCTTCACTAATCTTTAAATATTGTTGAAATCTTATTTTAGCTTCATCAATAGTTTTTTGATGTCCATTTAATGCCATTTGAGTCAATATCGATGATCTTAACATTGGTGTTTGTGAACCTTCATTTGGTCGAGGATCCCATTCTAATTTTAAATAGATTTGAGATAATAAATCAATAATAAATTTTTTGTATAAATCATAGAGATCTGGACGATATTCCAAAATAGAACTAAGATCACTTAATTGGCCAACTATTGATTTCCATACTGTATAATTATCTTCTTGTTTATATGAACGAAGTAGTTTTAAATAATCAATGTATGATGATATGCCAGCGTGTGATAGCGCATATAAATCATTTTGCACATTAAAACGATCTTGTGGGCTTAATGTATGATCATGTATACCTACAAGTAAATCATCTAACATTTTTGATGGATACTTAACACGATAGATGCCAACACTAGAATAAAAGTGTATCGATGTAAAATTGAAAATAAGAATAAATCCACGTTTACCTAAATAAGTTTAATTTAATCCAGTCACTTTCCGGTATTTTTTCCAATACAAATTGTTTCTTCTTTTCACCATTCAAAAATACCTGATGAACAATTTCATTTGGATTTGATTTTGTACAAATTGTTATCGGTATTTTCCATAATAAATTCTCATCATCCACACTACCATCAGCTAAAAATCGACTTTGTTCAACGGTTAACACGCGATTATTTCCTTGTTGTTCTTGACTAACCTAAATTTGATACAATTCAATGCTTGACAAGCTTATCATCATTGATACTTACTGTTAATAGTGGATAACCCATTTGTTTAGTCCATGTTGATAATACTTCACTAACTGGTTTATTTTGCGCCGTTTTCGATAAATGTTGCCATAAATTATCTGTAATCGTATTTCTATACGCATATTCTTTCAGATAATTTGATAAACCTTTTTGAAATGCTTCATTTCCAATATAAGAATGAAGAAGACGAATAATACTTGATCCTTTCTCATAACTAATTTCATCAAATATTTCATCGATTTCTGACGCTTTCGATATTGGCATTTCAATCGGATGACTATTTCTCAAAGCATCGGGTATCATACAATCAGCTAATGTACTTGCCACAAATTGTGTCCATATGTCATATTCGGGATAAATATGATCAACAGCCAAATATTCAACCCAAGAAGCAAAACCTAAAGAGAAAAAAAAACAATATTCATAATAAAGAAGAAAAGAATACTAATGTTCGACAAACAAAACAGTATATCGATACCTTCATTTAACCACAAATCATCCCACCACGTCATTGTAACTAGATTTCCAAACCACTGATGAGCGAGTTCATGCGCAATGACTAAGGCTGCCTCCTGTCTTGATTTTTGAGTCGATGTATGATTATCAATTAATAAATACGTCTCACAAAATGTTATTAAACCCCAATTTTCCATTGCACCTATCAATCAAATCAAAAGATTAATCATAAACATTTTTTTTCGTATGAAGATATTCTATTGCTTACCTGCGCCAAAATCTGGAACCGCAATTAAATCTAATTTTGCTAATGGATATTTAATTCCGAAATAATCTGCATAAAACGGTAAAATTCTACTAGTTGTCTGAAAATCAAAGTAGAAAAATAGTATGCTAAACATTACAATAGCACATAGAGAACACGTACTTCAAGTGCAAAGAGACCTTGTTCTTTTTTTCCTATTGGCGTGTACACTCGCACTAAAACACCATTTGGATCAGTTTGCTCGACATAATCATACTCACCAATAACATAGGCAACTAAATATGTTGACATTATTGGCGTACTAAAGTGTAAATATCTGTTAGATATATACAAACAACGAAAAGACGATAAACTATCAAGACTTACACATCAAATTCGACGATTTTCATCGAATCATTGTTTTTGTCAATTTGTTCAGATTTAACGGGCTAAAATAATGAACATAAGTTCTTAAAAAGTGTGAATCAGATTCTTAGATTGAACAAAGAGGGGTGATTTATCTGCTTATTGAAGTGTCTTATTTTTGTGCGTAAACGTATTTCTTCACAAGTATTTTCAAATTTATAAAAATTCAAAAATTATTCTCAATGTCACATTAAAAAGAGATAAAACATACCATATTTGATAAAGCAAGAAGATGTTTTGGTACTCGTAGTGTGATGGAAAATGTCGCTTTGAATGATGGTTCATCCCATGACGGAAATGCACGACGACAATCAGCTGGCTATACGGAAGAAAAACACATCCATATTCATATATTAATAGAAGAATCAGTAAAATATTCGTACTTACTTGAAATTGTGTACACGCTCCATATTTACTATTCTCATGTGCCGTTTTGTGCTGTGTTCGATAAAACCCACGTAACTGATCGTTTATAATACCAGTAAATAAAATATCTAATTTACCTTCACCCGCCTACAAAAGAAAAGATATGATCCCTACTAAATCACCTATTATACGAAGTTTAAATTAGTTAAAACTTTTGGAAATTCTCATTTTGCTCACTTGTATTAATTTGTCAAATTTAAACTTAATTTGTTCATTTTTTTTATCGTAAGTTACATTACCATTTTGAGATGTTGCTAAATGTAAACAATACAAATATTCAACAAATTACAAGAAAGAAAGGACTTACTATTATCATTGTTTTTATAAAACCGAGCATTATCTATAGTTAATTCACTACCGTGCAATACAATACTATCGACACTTTTAGTGATCTAAATTAATGACACAAAAGAAGACAACAGCAATTCTCTAAAGAGCTCATGATCTCTATCATTCTCACCTACTTTAATATCGATAATCACGTGTCCACTAAATGTAAAATTTTCGAAATTTGTATTAATAATTAGTTGATAATGAACGGGAACCACTGTGTTCGGTAAACGATCATAAGACGGAGTAATATCTGGCGATGATGTAATGGCAGACATTTCAGAAAATTTTAGAATCGAATATAAATCTAAATTATGTACACAAAATAACACAAGCCAGAGAGTGTTTGGATGAAGATGGTCAGAAAAGAAAAGAACACTAAATTTCATTTTCAACTGATCTGCATGAGAAAAGTAAACATCACCAATGAAGAGCTCAGTTCAGCTATCGTTCAGTTCATTAATTTATAAAATTCTTTTCATCTTGATATATTGTTGCTAGTCAGCCTATCTTCTTCGAAACAGAAAAACGCGAGAATAAATCTATTGTTCAACAAAAAAGAACGATAAAAGTCTATTGTGGCTCAAGCTTAAAGAGTTGCTCAGACCTCACAGGTGGGCAAACAGCTCCATCCATATTTCTTTTGTCCCTATCAACAGTTTCTAAGAGTTTTTGAAAAAACTATCGATAAACTTTTAAAGTATGACTTTTTTTAAACATACATTCTCCTTAATGTTTTTTGAGTGAACTATGTAATTCCAGTTATGTTAGATTGTACAGCAAACTTTTGTAATTAAAGCTTTTGAATGTATCAAGACATCGAACTACTGAATGATGTTTTTCTTAAAAGTTATGAGACATTTAACAGGCGCCTCAGATTCTGTACTATACGTTTTCGCTATCTTTCCTTGAAAGTATTAATTGGTATTTATCATAATTCTGTCTGACAGTGATAGTACATCAGAAAGACATGAGATTTTTTAAAATTGAAGCTAACACATGTGGTTAAAGGTTATGAAAGTTCAATTCTTGAATTTTTGTTCTACTTAACATAACGGGTACGGCAGAGGAAATTGCCGGTTTTTGATAGGCTTTTTTCTCAAATTAGACTCGACCAGAAGGTTTGGTTCTGATGCTAAAAGATAGAGAATTTTGTGTAGATTTTATTGATATGTTCTTTTTTAAATAAGCATGTACCGTTCTTTTGTAGCATTAAAAGTAATGGATGCCACAAAAATATCACTTGCGCAAC